GGAGGAAGTAGATCAGATTGTCACAGGATATATTTGATATTGTAATAGAGTCTAGGCCATAAGCAAGGTATCACGGTAAGTTTTAGGTATTGGTAGTGTGTGGATGCATTTGAGTAACCTTTTTCAATTTTTCATTGGGCACCTTGCTTTGTTTTTTGGCAAGGCATCTTACTATAAACATTCCTCTCCCCTCTCAGGAATTTATTACCAAATAAAGATGGTGGAATAACTTGGATTGGAGTGGCATCTGGTTCAAATGGAACCATAATTTGTCTAGTTAATTCAAGGGAAAACAAGCCTTGTTATTTTGATATATATATGCTGCATTTAGCTTCACTGACTATAGTTGCTTTGCTTTTTAGGCCATCAGTATTTAGACAAGTCACAGATTTTGCAAATGTTTTTAAAGCATTTATTGGAACCAACTGGATTGGTTTGCCATTTGCTTTTAAACAAAGTGGAATTGTGGTAAGTCAATAATTGTGGCAAATCAAATTTAGCATCTTATTGATAATTGACACAAGTCTTCTCTAGGCAAGGGATGGTGAAATGGCTGTTTTTAAAATGCATAAATTATTGTGGCTCAATGATTTCCTTTGCTCAAAATATCTCGAACTATCTCAATTTTGATTTTTTTTTTTCTGGTTTCCTTTTTTGGTTACCTTATTGCTGAGTGCTGCTGTACAGAAATCAATCAAACATTCAAATTAATGTTTGTCATTTCTTTTCAGCTTGGATGTGTTGGAATTCTCATTATTGCACTTATCACAGATCACTGTTGCCAGTTGATCATCAAATGTAAGAAAGCTGCTGTCCAAATTGTTCTGGACTCTGCAGCCCCAAAGTCAGGTGATGTTGAATCTCAGGATACAGACATGGCTGACATGCGAAACACTGTAGAGAAACGGATGTTTTTTGGAGAAATTGGCAGAATTGCTTTGGGCAAGAAGGGAGTGTTTCTTGTAAATGCAGCACTTCTTGCAACACAGTATGGCTTCTGCATTGGCTATTTCATTTTTTTGGGCAACACTATAACATCGATGTTTCCTACTCCACATAATTCATCCATTTCCACGAGTACTACAGCAAAGTCGCATGTGAATTACCATCCTCCTGCATTTGCTCTGCTCATTCTTGTGCCACTGATTCCATTGATACTGTTTTCATACATAAGAAGTATTCGTAAGCTGGGTCCAGTTAGTTTTGTAGCTAATGTGGCTCTCTTGGTTGCGTTTGTCTCAGTGGTGGGATATATGTTAAGTGGTAAGTTTTATCTTATTGTGATATTTAATTGGACAGACAAGATTATTATTATTGTAGTATGCATGAAAGTGGAAATAACTCTTCCACCACTTTCACCAAGACTAAGATAAATAACTCTTTTAGTATATGCCACACAAGATCCAAAAGTTTTCTTCCGGATGATATGCTGAAAAAAATAATTCGAAATAAAATCTGACACATGATTTTGTCTCTTTGGCTGCTCCTTAAGGTCAACAGTGCTTGCTAATCATGCAGCTCTGAGCTAGCCAATCAGTGCTTGCAAAAAGTTATATTCACTTGTGTGGTATGCATTAATGCTGGTTAGTCTGAATGACACTTTGGTCATTCCATGACAGGCACAAGTTGTTGTAGTAGATGTCTAAAAATTGACAAATGCTGGTTTTTTATTTTTTTTTTTTTACTAAACCTGACCCTAAATATTTTATTGTATAACAATAGCAGATTAATTAGCTCTATTCTGGCAAGTCTTATTCCAATTTGTTTTACAATATTTTAGGTTTAAAATTCAAACTAAAGGAAATCAAGCTGTCAAACTGGGCTACATTTCCAGTATTTTTTGGCCAAGTGACTAGTGCTTATGAAGGAATTGGAACTGTAAGTAGAATGCAAGGCTTTTAACTTCTAGTTTAATAGACTTGATATTATTACAACTGGTAGATGAGGGTTACAAATTGTTTAAGCTAGCGAGAGACAAACAAAATGATAAACATATTTTTTGTTAGTTCTATACTCATGTAATTTCCATGTAGTAATGGATCCTTCATTATCCAACCTCAATTCTCAAAAACTTGGGGGATTTTGTGCAAGGATCTTCTTCCCCAGGGCCTATGCATGCTTAGCTCCTTAACCCTCACCCATATGTTCAGTCTAACTCTTTAGCAAGTACAATCATATAACTCGCAGTGAAGGATCACTTCAAAAGCTTATCATCTGCCATTAATTAGTCATTCATAAATGGCTTGTCCCTGATCAGGAGGATATAATTATATCTCCAGTTTTTCATCAAGAACTGTACTTACAGAAGAACAGCATTAAGTAAGGCAAGAATATTCTCCTCATCTGGGTAAAATGCTTTAACTCACCCATTAAAATTGAGCTTGAGAATTATGTGTACTATGTGGAGAATTATTGGATCTCCAATGCATTTTTTAGCCAACACCCCTGATACTGATACCTCAAGTACCCTGGACATAATGCACATCCTTTGTAAGCTTACTATTCAGTAAAATGATGCACTTTTAACCCTTTACCCCCCTTACATCAGTATGTATATTCTCCCTACAGCTCTCTATACACGTCCTAAGGTGCTAACAAGGAGAATTTTTTAACAATGAAGAGCTTCTTTAGTTCTCCTGACCTTAGTGTGTTATTCAGGGATGATATTGTTAGGAGAATTCAGATGTTAGTCACTTTTAGGGGTTAAAGGGCTAAACACAAGAAATGTCATATTTCACTTCTTTTTCTTTTTTTTTTTTCGTTTCAGTTAATTCCTATTGAAACAAGCATGGCAGAGAACCGACACAGATTTCCTTTGTATTTACACTTTGCTGTTGGATCTCTCTCAGTAATTCTTGGTTGCTTTGGTATTCTTGGATACACAGTGTATGGGGAGGAAGTAGATCAGATTGTCACAGAAAGCTTTCCCTCAGGAGTATTGATTCAAGTGGTTCGCTGTTTGCTGTGCTTTGCTATACTCCTCACATATCCTCTGCAGGTCTTTCCAGTTATCGAGATCATTGAGGGTTGGCTGTTTACAACTGACTGTAACACTGCTGTGGAGATCAGCACCAACATTGACAGTGAATCGTCCGAAGCATCTGTAGCATTACAGGCCAGTGAAACTTCATGGTTACTTGCACCAGAAATACCAAAACAGAAAAGTTTGGTAAGTAAAAGGACCAGTATATTTGACACCCCCTAGACAATACTCCCCTCCACATGTTATGCATTCTTCAAAGCAACCAAATTAAAATTGTCAAAAAAAGGAGAATCTTCTAATACCATAAAAAGGAAATTGAGTAAGTAAACTAATGAAGAGTATGTCAATAAGAAAAAAATTGTGAACAAATGAGAATTCTTGAGTGTCTTATTAGGTAGACAGTGTGATCTTTGCAGCTTTATGCTTGGCTAAATTCATGAAATTGCCATTCTGACATTTCATGTCACCCAGGATCCTGCAACTAACTTGATCTGGCATGTTATCCCTGCCATACTCTTACAGGAATGAGACTGTGCTGTGTACTTCCAGGCAGCATGGATTTAGGGAGAATCTCACACTAATTGGGGGGATATCACATGTGCCACCTGGATCTCAAAGGTTATCCCAGCTAACATTCTGACTTCCACTTGTGCATGGTTTGACTTTGAACTGCTCTCTCATTTGCAGGCAAGAAAGTGGAAGAAAAATTTGCTAAGGACGTTTATAGTTTTGACAACTGCTGGCATTGCTATTGCACTCAAAGATGATTTTGCATATGTCAGTGCCATTGTTGGTTCCATTGGAAGTGCTACTTTGGGCTTCATTTTACCTTGTGTTTTCCACTTGGTACTTTGCAAAGACTCTAACACGAGGCTAATCAAAGTTAAAGATTGTTTGTTTATTGCCTTTGGCATCATTGGAGGGGTTGTAGGTGTAACAATTACAATAAAACAGATTGTTCAACAATTTACCAAAAGTTAATAATAATTGTTTACAGTTGAGATTATTTTAAACTACCTGTAAAGAGTAGTTTCATATTTTCATAATCTGTAAACAGAACAGCAATGAAATGACTTAAGATATTAATAAGCTTCAAATTTTCATATTATTTTGTGCTGCTTTGTAGCTATATACATTTCCTGAAGGTATTTTTTATGGGAAACATTCAATTTATTTTAGTCACTGAAAGGAAACCCAGTAGGTGAGGAATTGTAAAAATATTATAGAAATTAATGATTGATTTTTGACATTCATAACCAAGGATATACTAGTAGAAGATATCCCTGAGCAATGTTTCTTTCTCAATCATCAAGTGTTGATTCAGGCAAACAGAGATTCTCTATTGTTTCTTTTGCTTTCACCAAAGGTGTTTATTTTAAAAACTCCAATGGAGAAAACTGTTGAAACAGAAATTAGCAGAATCAGTTTAAAAAAATGCTAATAAAAATGATAGAAATTGCCATAGATATTGTGTTGTCTCTATTTGTACTAACTTTGGGTGGTATAAAACAGAAATAATGAAGTAAATAGAGTGGAGACAAAACAGTGAACTCAGAGAAGAGCTTCACTCACACAGTTATCTTTCTAGCCCCAGTGGATAGTGTTGAATAATGTTATTCATCCTTTACACAACTGGGCCCAGCCATTTTCAGGGTTGTGTACTAAAGGATAAAAGTTGACAATAAATGATGTGGAAGGCAGGACAACTAGGTGGATTGACTACAGAACCTTTGTTAATGAAACCAATTGATTTTATTCTTTAACTTTCTTTACATTTACTTTACTTGTTGTATGGCTCTCCATTTTATGTACCTTTGCCTGTTTGAATTTCTAACTAACAAAATTTACTTTACAGTGACATGTGAATTTAAGGTGGCTCAAAATCAATTAATATTCAATAATATAAACTGCTTTCATTGAAGGAGCCATAGAAATCAACAATCTGAACTGTGGCTCTATCTCCTTGCCCCACAATCCCTTGAGGGATAGGGGTAACTCTGATAACTCTGAATACCAT